CATCAAAATTAGACTTTGTTTGCTTCAAACTGTTGGGGCTCATCTCCTGAATCCAGTACACTGAAACACCACTCTGCAGTAGATTGTCTTCAGCAGACCTTGCAGTGAAGCAGTTTACTCCTGTTGAGGGTCAGTCCCTCAAGACTAGGAGGCATCACTTGCTGTGGTTCTCTGGAAGAATGTTTTTCACTGCAGTGTCTCACCTTAAGATAAACTGATCTTACAGCTCATCCCAACTAATCAACTGAAAGTTGTGCAGATCTCTAGGGATCATAGGAATCTGTCCTTATATGGATAAACTCCTCAAAGTTTGTTTTAATCTGGAGTTTGTTTTAATCTGGTATCATTGCTTTTTCCATCGCTTTGGAGCATGATGCACTCTGTGCTGTACATCCCCACAGAAAACTATTCAGGCTAATTCATGTACTGTACTCTTACACTTAATTGTTCTGCTGCCAAGTTCCTCATGTAGACAAGCCTTCAAATATGATGATACAGTAAAGATAAATTGCAATTCTCTAATTTAACTTTTTTTTTTCTTGGTGTTGTTTTCTTAACAGCACTTCAGTTACTCATCCTTGCTTTTGTTTGACAGATTTTAACTGAGAAATTCACTGTGTGACACTTGTATTTATTCAGGTGAATTAGTCCTGTGGAATTTTGATTATGATGGTGTAGATCTGATGTAATAGAATAGATGATATGAGTGAAATCTTTTAAACTCCACTTTCATGCTGGGTCTCACCCAATAACCAACAAAATTGTAATCTGCAATTCTGCCTTTGTAAAAACATGCATAATTTTTATGAAAATAGTCATGGTTGCAATTAAAAATGCTGAGAGTTGGTTTTGTTTTGAATTTACTATTCTTCAGAGTCCTTAATAAACTTTCACGGTCAAAATCCAGATGGTACTGCAGAGCTCAGTGTAGTTTTTGAGAATTTGTTTTTTGGTTTATGCTGATTATAACTCTCCCCAGATAAAAATGTAAAATTGTTTTAATTTTTGGCCTTTGGCTGTCTGGAAAGCTGCTGTCAGCTTCCAGTACAAGCTAATTCACATTCAGTGCGTATCCACAGCTTGATGGTAGAGGCAAGTGCAACAGGGAGCAGACCAGCTTGTCATTGCCCCAAATTAAAAAAACTCATGGACCCCACTCTTTCTAGTGAGATTGTTTCCTTTTTCTAATACACAGTTCACCTTGTGAGTTGGTTGGTTGGTTTTAATTTGTGTTGCTCTCCTACTCTGGAGAGTTAGTGATTTAAAGACTCTGAGGAACATTATCCTGTGCAAATGGGGAACATAGAGGGGAGATTTTTAATTCCTTAGATAATTAAGTATTAAAATAAATGATTAAAAAATGATGAGGTGAAACACTCTGTTAGTTTTAATATAAAAATAATGTACTTCTCCCTGTGGAATGCAAGACAGAGCGCTGCAATCAGAATAAGGGAAATAAAAAATTGAGTACCCTGAGGTTTGTTTTTTTCTTGTCTCAAAGGTGGCTCCTTGATGCCTCACTGTGCTTAGGGGTGGTTTGCCAAGCTGTTGGGAGGAGTACAAAATGAGGATGGAATTCATAAATGGCACATTAGATGGAGGAACGAAGATATGGTCTGGGTGATCTGAGGAGTACAACAGCAGAAAAGATTTTGCCTTAGGACTGGGTAGGAGAGATGCAGCCCTGCAACTTTAAGTACTAGCAAAGCCATTTAGAGTTGTTAGAAATCTCTGTTTGGGTAATATCCAGAAAAAGGTCTTTAAAAACTTCCTCTGCTCTCAATGAGTATTTGGAGAGAAAGTGGGAGCAGAATGCTGAAAAGACTGAGGCTAAAATAAAGGGGATGTAAAGAATGTCTGCATTTACTCCTTGTTCTACTTAAAACAAGTAGAAAAGCCTTGAGTGTGACCTCCTCCAAATTCAAGCAAGATCTAAGCTGAACTTTCCATTTCTATATATCACAATACTTCAGCCTTCTATTGCTGTTGCAGTTTACAGTCTCATAATATTGATGAGTGCCAAGGAAGTTTCTCTGATTCTCCAGATGAGATAGAATTTATTTCTTCTTCCAGGTGGAACTTAAGAGTTGAATTTAATTAAACTTTTGAAAACAAGTTTTTATTTTAATTGCTTATTGGCTTTCCAAGATGGAAAGAAAGATTTCCAAAATTGTGACACTTCTCTGCAATTGTCTCTTCCTGGCCCCTTTGATTCTGAGATTTGTACTTTCTGAATGATGGCTGAATGATGCTTACATTTATGAAGGGCTTGTTTGCATTTTGCTGTATTGTGATACATTTTGGTTGTGTTATTTTTGTTTGGGTTTTTTGGTATTTTTTAATTGATAGCCAAGTGTTTTTGTTTTTCCAGGGAGAAAGTGCTTTGCTCCAGTTTTTGAGTTTGTTTTGCATGAAATGGGCAGTTTGCCAGTTGTGTTTTAGGGTTCTGTGTTTTTTAAACAAAAAAAACCCCTTCTATTAGTTAGTTCTAGTAATCTCTATTTCATGTGGTAGTTCCTATTGTGATGGTAGGTTATTAACTTTTGATCTCCAAATTGGCCACAGTCAGAAATACAGTACTGGAATATGTAGATTCCTGGTCTGTTTCTGTAAGATCACTGTTTGAAAATTGTTCCTGTAGCCATGGATGACTACTAGTGATGCCAATTCCAACCATAATGTTCAGGTATTTGGGTTTTTTATTATTTTATTTTTAAAATTTTTTAATCTCACCAGGCAAAATACTATGGAAATAAAGTTGTTGCAGCTTTACTATATACCAACTATATGCTACTAGTCTGTGAAGTAGTAGTTGTTCTGGGGTACTGTATTGTCAAATGACAGCTGTGCACATGGGACTTTTTTCAGCATTACTATTCTTTTCTGAACTAGCATTGCTGTTCTGAAGGATGACAGAGCAAGCAAAATCTTTAATGTTGACTCAGGCCAGAGTGCAGATAGATTTAGTTGAATCTCAAGAGCATGGGCTGTCCTTGCCCTTCTATCCTTGCCTTTAAATGAAAGGGAATGACCTTTCTTTGCTTGCCCCTTCCTTGCCCTTTGACATTAGAAGGAAATTCTTCATCATGAGGGTGGTGAGACACTTGGAACAGGTTGCCCAGTGAATTTGTGGAGACCCCCTCCCTGGAAGTGTTCAAGGCTAGGTTGGATGGGGCTTTGGGCAACCTTGATTTAGTAGAGGCTGTCCCTTGCAATGCAGAGAGGTTGGATTTAGGTGATCTTTAAAGTCCCTTCCAACCCAAATCAGTCTGTGATTCTATGTTTATGTAGCCTGAAGAACTTAACTGAGATCACAGCCTTGTTATTTTGGGTGATGCTCTCATATAAATGGTAAGATAAGTCGGTTTCATTTGCAGTCTACATGGAAAAAAGGGTGAGGGGAAATCACTGTAATTTGTTGGACATAGAATAGGAGCACAGGAAAAGCAAATTGCCTGAGATTGGAAAATGTCTTTGGCAAAGCAAGATCTGCATTAACCTTTTTGTTGTGGAAGTGCCTTCCCTGACTTGGTAGTTACAAGTAGCATTGGTGTGTGGCTTTCTCTCCTGCAAAGGTGAATTCCTCTCTCAGGCAATAAAGTCCACATGTAGATAAAGGTGATCATTGCTGTGAGAGGCATTTTCCACATAAGTTTTGGTCAATGCTTATGGTCTGGAGTTCAGAAATTTTTAGGAACTAACCATCCCTTTCTGTGGGATTTCTAGGTAAGCATCCTCTTCTATTCTAGGATTTACCATGAATTGCAGTACCTAAATGGTAGATCAGTGATTAGGAGTAACTGACCACAGTTTAGGCCACCACCGTACTTGATCAGCAAATAAATACCTACGTCACGTGCCAAACACAAAATAAAGACTAAAAATGTGTTTGTGGACTAGAGCTTGGAAAACTGGGTTGTCTTGGAATGCCATCTGTGGTAACCCTTTGTCACATTTCTGAATAAGGATTTGAATTTGCTATGGAAAAAAAAAATAATTTATTTCACAATTAGAATGTGAAGACATAAGCACAGAAGTCAAATATGTAAATAGGAAAAGTTGTGTTGTATTGTATTTGCATCTGTATTTTTTAATGGTGTATGTCTTTGCTCTTCAGGACTGACAATTCCTAGATAGGGTAGAGAGCTTATTCTTTAACATGATAGCCTGCCTCAGGTAATTGCTCAATGGCACAGTTAAAATAGGTATCTAGCAGTAAGAGAGGCTCAGTGTCATTGAAAATGTTCTTTCAGCATGTAGTGATGTACCGCCTGCAGATAATGCAGTTGTATTGAGGAACAATGCAGGGCTAGGCAACAACAGTGGCATGAATCCTGGTAGTTGTTTACAGGAAGAAACCTTTTCATAGATGAACTAGAAGGGACCATAAATTGGATGCAAATAAAGCTGCTTTTGAAATCCTCTAGTACCAGAATGTTGTAAAGAAGCTTTTGTGAAAATGGTTATTGTGCTAACTATTCTTACAGTGAAATTCAGCCTTGTGCAGGGAACCTCTTAAAGTTCATGTAGTGCTCAAGAGGGCTGAAAAGAAGGTTGAAGCGAACTCTTAAGTGGTCCCTGTGCAGCATTTGATGTAAAATTCTTGCATTGTTTTCCTCTACAGATGTAGCTTATTTTAGTGATCATGTTCCTTTTTAAATATGCCTGTGCATGATCTTATGTTGCAGATGCTGACTGGGTAATTTTGCTCTCCAATAGTAAAAGTATATTGTAAGTGAACATGTGACCTTTGGCATGAGTTCCACACAAGCTACTTCTTTTAATCTAACTGCCATGTACAACATACCATAACTTATCCTTTTCTAAACTAACCAGGTAAATCATCAGCTACTTAGGCTACTTCTGCATTGATTGATGGTGTTTGCTATTGCCACTAATATCCGCTACAGCACTGTCAATCCCCTCAGTAAAGTCAGCCAGGTTGTAACCCAGTATGACTTGAGGATCTGATCTTTTGAACTCTCCTTTCCTTTCAACAGTGACTGAGAGTCGAGGGATCCTGGAGAGTATACAGAGATTTTCTTTACTGCCAACTTACTTGCCTGTGACCTGTCGTATCCACAATGCAGATGTTTCCTTCTTTCTTAAGGAAGCCAACCAGGATATTATGAGGAATTCTAGCTTGCAGTCCAGAGTGGAATCCTTTCTGATCTACAAATCCAAGACACCACCTGTGTTAAATGCCAGCTATGGACCTTTTTCTGTTGAACAAGTAGTGCCCCAAGACTTAATGTTGTCTTCAAACCCATTTGGATCTACTAACAAGTTCTCCTTTAATTGGAAACTTCAGGCCTTCATAATGAGTGACAAAATTTACCCAAGCAAGCCCAAAGTCCAGGTCCTGTTCTACATCGTGGGCAGGGACTGGGATGACTACAGCACCACTGACCAGCTGCCCTGCTTGCGGGTGTTCGCCTTCCGAGAGACGCGGGAAGTCAGAGGCAGCTGCAGGCTGAAAGGGGATCTGGGGCTGTGTGTGGCAGAGCTGGAGCTCCTGCCAAGCTGGTTTAACCCCCCCACGGTTGTTGCTGGCCGTAAGAAAACAATGGATCAGTCAGAAGGGAGCCCTGTGGAGCTTTACTATGCCATACAACCAGGAGATGAGAAAGGAGAGTGCACCAAGGAGGATGTAAGGAAAAGTAATGGGATCCGACCAGGGCGCAATGACATTGATGAGTCAGGACCTCCCTTGCAGAGGATTGGAAGTGTTTTCCTTTACCAGACACATGCTGTCCCTTCCTTAGATGAAATGAAATTGGATAATAATATTGTCATCCGCTATGCACCAAAGGCTGTCAAGCAAGGTGACATTTTGACTTTCCTTGTATCTGTTGCTAAAAATTCAACAGCAGATCAGTTCACACTGAGGTAAGGCTGTTTTGTGTTTCTTTTTTTTTTTTTAATTGTTTTGTTCTTGGTATGAAGAATCACTTTCTCATGAGTAGATTGCCTAACAATCCTTCAGTTGCTGCTCTACAGTAACTGTATTGCAGTTGGCTGACTCAGCATTTCTTCTATTGTTCAGTCTAATATGGTATGAATTGTCTAAGATGTGATGTCTTTGAGTGAGAAAAGCCTTTTCTGAAGTTGTCCTTTGAGTACTACTTATAAAAATGATCTAGCTGTGACCTATCCGACAGGAGATAACACCTGAAGTCTCCTGAGCTGGAGTTTGCAGAGCTTCTAATCTCTCATTGAACTTGTGTAACACTGAAATCTGCCAAGGTATTTATAGGAAGTAAGCGAGAATTAGGCATCTAAGTAGGATTTATATGCTTAAACATCTCTTCTCAACTTTTTGTAAGCCTGGATCTGTTCTATAGGATGTTTGATGTTCCCAAGTATTATTGCTATACCAAAACCATTTCTGAAAATGAAAACTACCAGAGTGTGGTGATGGCTCTTTTTCAAGTGTAACATCAAGTGTTGCATTTATTTACTTGGGTGCTTTTCAAACATTGGGGAATTACACTGGGAAACTCACTATGACCACCGCTATAACACAAGGAAGAACAGCAAAGACTATCAGATTGGGCTGTGCAAACTGAGAGCAGATGTGCCTTGCATTCAAAGGCGACTGTCCAGCTGTCTTTGCAAGTTTTCCACTCAGTGTTCCAGCACTATATACCAGGGTTGTGTAGCTGAGACATGGAAGATTGGTGTGTGTGGAGTTGATTAAATTCTTTATTCCTTACTGATGACTCAAGTCAGTTCTTTCAGAACTGGAGGATCAGTCTCCTTTCTCTGGTGCTTACAAATCTCAGATTCCAAAAAACCCTGGCTAAAGTCACCTAGACAACTTTCAGGACTAAATTATTTAAAAATGGCATAGAGCTGTAAATGCAACATTGTTGGGGTTGGATGTATAACATACTGGAGTAAGGCATATTTGACTCCACTGAAGTACTAGTGAGGGCTCAAACTAGTAATTCTCATTTTTTATTTTTTATTTTTATTCCCAGGGAGGTTTGTGTGGGATTTCTGAGGGAAGTGGATTGCCATAAAATCAAGTCATTTTTACTTTACAAGTGTGTGATATATAAACTGAGTAACTGCAGCACTTTGGTTGCAGACACAGGGAAAGTCCACTGCACCTGGTAGAGGCCAGACACCAGTAAGCTATCCACTCATCAAGTTTTCATGTTCTGAGTCAATCTATCTGCCTAAGAGTTATTTCCTGAGTGAGTAATTTGAAGACAATCTGAGTTCCTCGTAGTAAGTGTTCAGGGACACCTTGCTACTACCTTCTGTATACTAGTGACTTTAAAGGGATATTACTTCAGATGTACGTGGAGACTTCTATTTGAAAATTGGTTTAAATACAAAACTTAAAACCTGTTCAATCTAAGAGACAATTAAAGTGAAAAGTTTTCATTGTTTTTACTCTGTAAATGCAGGGACTTAGAAAAGTGATTTCAAAGAATTTGTTTCTTTTAGCTGTGATCAGTTAGAAGCAGAGCTAGCTATAACCATTATAGTTATATGTAGGTTTAGAACATTTTCAAAAATCTTGCTTTGTGTAAATTGGGAGGAAAACTGAACACCTGAAATTCTAAGTGAATGCTTCTGAAAGTAATCTTCTGGAACAAAAAGGAAACAATGTGTTTGAATTTCGGCTTTATATTTTAAGATGTAAGTTATCATAAAAGACAAAGAAGGAAAGTGAAAAATAGATAGCAAATATCAGTTAAAAATTAAGTGTGGCATTTTCTTCTTCAAAAACATATTCGCTGTTACCTTTTAAAAACAAACTTCTGTAATAGCTTGCTGTTAGTGATGTCACTTTCATGAGTTTTGATTCCTCTTGACCTGCTTTTTCTAATAGTAACTGGCTTTCAGACTATAATCTATTGTAATATTTCTATAGTTATAATGTCTGTTCTACTGTGCTTCTAAAGCACCATTGTCTGTCTTTGATCTAGCTACACCATGTTTGAACTACTGTTTGATTGTTTTCTTTGTCAGAATTGTAATGTGTGTTCTGCACTCATCCCTTCATGACACCTACATGGTTAATTCAGTTTTCAATGGTTGTTAACTTACTTAGATCTTATCTTCTGGAAGGGGAAAAAATAACCAGGTAAGAGCAAAAACAGGACTTGATTAAATGCTTATGGTCAAATCCTCTTCTACATTGGGAACTCCTAGAATTGCAGTGTCAGACCAGATGTTAATACCTCTTTCATGACCCTCTCTTTAGGAGTAAATGTCACTCTGAGTAGATGTTGAAGTTTCCTTGACTGAATTAAGACCTTGTTTCAGGATTGGAAATATTACATGTCAGTCTAGTATATCCATCATCCATAAGTAAATGGTCTTTAAGTGTCCATTCCAACCCAAGCCATTCTATGATTATACTACATAGGTTCTCTTTTGACATAGTCAGCTAAACAAAAAACTTCGTATGTGTTGTGCTGTCTGTCCTGATTTCAGAACACTCTCCAGCTGATGTTATGTAAAAGCCATCAGAGACCTCTTTTGTGACCAGATCAAATTTAAAGAGGGCCTGTAAAGGCATGTAGAAGGTTCTCCATCCTTTCAGTTGAGATGGAGCAAAAAAGAGCAGAAATGGCCCATTGATGTAAATAACAAAATTATTGAGCATAATATACAGAAAAGTATAACAGACCACGACTCAAGCAGAAATGGTGAGTCTAAGGGGAAAAAAGCCTGCAGTTTGGGGAGAATGAAGAGCAGTCTCTGGCTTCAGCTGTTACACAGAAGTTCCCTTTGTATTTTCCAAATGATCCCTCTTTTCCATACAATGCATAGATTTTCAACAACTGATAGATAGTTTTTATATTTCTAAATACAAAAAAATATCCATAACAAACCTAAACCATTAAAACTGACTATGTGTTCAGATTACTTCCAAGTGCCATAGAGAAAGTAATGTGTTCCAAGATGTCTTGTTTCACTAGGCTGATATTTGGCAGGTAGCTTCAGAAGCAAGACTTAGGTCTAACAACTCTTGGCTGGTTCCAAGGTTTGCAAGGGAATTCCAAGGTTGTAAGGAAAACCTTGCTAGATCCTTAGTTTGCAATGTCCATAAACTTATTATGTGGATATCTCTTGTATCTGCTTTAAACTAGCAAGAGGCTGTTATGGCTGGCAGTGTCAGTATCTCTTGCAGATGCAGATTTGGTACCCAGTATTCTGTAGATTTCAATGCGACTTTAAGTGAGTCAGTTACTCTACAACCTTCTCCTTTCCCTGTCTCTAACCTGGCAGTTCTGGGAATATTTCTGTGCTGTATCTTCCACCTGCAACAACAGTACTGCTCCTTGCACAGAAAGTGGCTGTTGTGCACTGGTTTCTGCTCCTATACGGTAAATAGCAATACAGCCAACACGTTATGTATCCTTCTGGTCTCTTCTCACTCTGATCTCCTCTCTGATAAAGGAAAGTACCCCTTTCACCTGGCCTCAAATAATTCTTTTATGAGAAAAATTCTATTAATTTTTATTTTGAAACAGTCCCCTATTTTTAGAAGTTGTATGTTGAGTGGCAGCAAGACTTGGAACTGTATTCATAGAGTTAGGCCAAGAGCTGCTGGCAAAATGCTTTTACCGTTGCTTTTGCTCCAGTGGACTGGAAACCATGGATTGAACAGATGGAAAATATAGGATATACAGGTCAAAAACGAAGAAACAGCCACGCAAAGCAACCATAAGTCAAAAATTAGTCATCGAAGCTGAATATTTTTTGTTTAAAACCAATGATATTTAGAGTAAACTTTATTGTCTTTCTAATAGGAAATTGTCTCCACATGGAACCTTGTAGAAACTGCAAAATACTAAAATATATAAGGAAAGGTACCTCATATTTTTTCTTTATGGTGCTGTTCTGCATAGGGAAAG